CCATGCTTTCCAAGCAATGAAACAAGGGTTGACTACTATATCAACGAGAATAGCATAAGGAATAGATATTTTACCTACAGTGGGCAGGGTCAACTAAAGAACGGAACTGGTGTCTATAAGAATAACCTAAGCAGTAGGAGCCTCAAGTTCATAAGTAAAGACCTGGATCAGTAGCTAAAGTGTTCGAAACAGTAAAGTCAGTCTAAAGGGCAGTAAAGCCGGTAGCTACAGGAAGAAAAGCATCCGTTTTAGGTTCAGAGACAGTCGAGGCAGGCTCATGAGCAGGCTAGTTGGAATCAAAGCAAGGTAGTGTAGGCTTCGTGGGCAGCAGCTTCAATCTAATCAGTACAAATTGCATTCTTTGAGATCTGGTTATTAGTCTATCCTGTCGATTGGTCTGCCCTTACTGAACCTCATTCTTTCCCAACTGTGAAAGTCTCCAGCCGAGCCCACACTCTTATCTAGTAGGGGAACGACCGAGCCCAAACTCTTATCTCGAGGATGAAACTATAGCACTTGACATTCAATCCCTATAACGGGAATAACACTCTCAAGTCATAATGAAACGACTCTATTGTAAAGTAAGGATGCATCGGTACCCTCCATCACTCTGCTATTCCTGTTTCTAAGGCTGCCTCTACTTGCTGAAACTCCCATTCCTTTGTTCTACAGAAGAAGAGGAAACAACAACTAAAGAACCACTACATAATATAATACACGTTTACTAGTTTTGATAAGTGATGGTTTCGGCATGACATTAGAGGAGCCTCTCTCAACAGCTTCTTTTCTTGATACTGCATCCGATCCTGCTTATGGTCCTTATCTTTTTTGTGCTTCCACGCTTGTTCCGAGATACCCCGCTGCCTCATATCCTGATCCAGAGAGATCTTGTTTCTAATCTTGAAACTTAGTGTATGGGCCGGGCCTTATCTTTCAACTAAAACGGATGATTCATTATCTTCAGAATCTATTGCTGTGCTGACACTGAATTACTTAACGACACAATCACCTCCATCGTTGCCAACACGGATGAAACTCTCCTTGATGAACGAACTACACCGCTTGCATTCACTTAAGCCCTTTGACTTGCTACTCTTCCCTACTTGCCTTAGCCTTAAGTTAAGCGCTACGTGTGGGGAGCTAAGTATTCTTATTCTGTATTTGCCTAAGCATTCTGTATTCTGTCTACGACAACACCAAAAGGGGAGACTTGCCTCCTACTCAAAGAGTAGAGATTTGTTGAACCGACACCCACACCTATAAACTCCACTAGACTTTCTATTTGACCTTGACACTTATGTCATTTTATGTTATTACAATTCCGCCAAGCAACTACTAACGACCAGGCATATCAGAACTTGAATCCGGGCTTTCACAGGGCAAGACTCAATTGTCGTATTTGTGAGAGTTGAGCTCATCAGCACGAGAATAACAAAAGTAAGCCCAAGAGTGAAAACGGAGACCTAGGCTTAACTCACTAAGTCAAAGAATAATAGTAATTGTAATGTAAGTAATAGAAAATAATGGTTAATAGAATAATGAATATAATATGTAATAATTGTCTCCAAAGCTAAGTAATCAAATTGACACTGCGGAAACTCTCTCGAGGTTGGAATGGAATTGGCACTGGGGTTCTGTTCTGTCTAACTCTCTTCTGTTCTGTAGAGGCACCTGCTTTGTATCGTAGTTGCTTGTCTCCTATACAACTGGATTTGCTAATCTACTCTTTGACTGTGGGATTGAGTTCTAACTTAGCCCAACACACAGAGGGAGTTCTGACTACTTTATTTCACTCTTGGAATTGTTACTTGCATTCTGACTTCGACTTCGGTTAGTCACTACCTACCTGGGTGCTCTGACTTTTCTACTTACTGACTTTTCTACTTATGAGTTCAATTAGGTATTTGCGACTTTCAATAAATAGGCATATGGGTTGATTTCCTACTTTACTTGAAAGAAAGGGGTGGTTGGTGATAAATAGCACTAGGGTTTTCCAGAGGAGAGGTTGAATTGAACTTGTTTATATAAGTCTGATATATAGTAGTTGGTCTAATTCATGTGTGTGGTAATAAGGAATGCAAAGGGAAAGTCAAAGGCTATACCTGTATGTAAAGGAACTAGATCCGAAAGGAATAAGAATCCAATCTACCTAAGCAGGTGCTGAAAGCCTACTGCTAATAAAGAATGCAAAAAGTAAGGATATCGGGCGGAAAGGATACTACGCTCTAGCAAATAGTGAGATAGGACCAATTGATATTAACAAGAGGAGAATTGACCCAACACGCTACTCATACTGACTTACGACTACAGCATATGAGACTGCTGCCCTTTCTATTGACCTGTAACTACCTTATTCAACTAACTACTTGCACTCCGCTTCTCCTGTCTCTCAGATCTGACTTTTGACTTTGAGTATCCACTCCCTCTTTTCGTCAATAGGCTCGCTAAGGATTCAATCCAGCCGCAGGTGAAACACATAATAAGAATAAAAGATAGGAAAATCATACCTAAACAGGAGATATGGACTGAGATAAAGTTTAGTAAGATTGATATGTGCAAGTAAAGATCATAGTAAGTCAAGATAGGATCAAAGACAAGAGCGAGGTACTAAAACACACAAGTTAAGATCATAGGCATTAGTTACAGAAAGCAAGTAAGTAGCTGAGGAAACGGAGACAGGAAGGGGCCAAGCACCAAACCGAACTTGATTATTGCCCCCAAGCCAAGCACTACAAGGGAAAGAAAGCTGTCTTGTCAATAAGCCCATTCTCTACGCCAAGGGGACAATAAGCCGCTCTAGGGAAACTTCAATTGAAGCAAATCTATCTAAAAACCCAACCCCCCTAAAGCTGTTCGTAGACATTTGAGCCTAACATCTTTGCGGGTTCCGTTCCCTTGTTGGTTCCGCCTAAGTGCTTACGCGAGTTTACGAGTTTACTGAAGGACAGTCCTACATTTGGTTAATGCTCGTTAAGGGAAAGCAGTAGATAAGGCTCTTAGCACCTTTTTGCGTCCTTTAACGCCTCTTTCACTAATCCAATTAGGAATCTTTCTTGCCTCCCGAAAGAGCTGTTTTAGTGCATTTCTTCTTAAGAGCATAGATCCTTGCCTTATAGACCCTTGCCTCATAAACCCTTATGGACCCTTGCCTCATAGACCCTTTACTGCAGCCTATCGCTCAATCCTATTATTAGATTCTTATGATTACCGAGATGGATCTATACCTCACTCTATTCCCTTCAGTAAACTCCACTAATAAAGAGATCTTTCTTGCACAGAAGCAAGCATAAGCGGGAGACACCTCTAACGCGCAACAGTACTCTTCTCTTGTATCGTATTCTCTATTTGTTGTTTTTTCAATTCAAAGAAAGTATACCGATTCAAATACAAACTGTCTAAACTTGAAGTGAAGAATTCCATGATGTATTTCCATCACCAGTTATAGAATGTAGTAAGAGGCTAGGCCAACAACTCCACTCGCTAATGCTCAAAACAGGACTCGGTAATGGCAATCAACTAAACTGAATCCACCAACTCACATCAAGAGGCCGGTGACAGAGAAAGAGGCCTTTTCATTTCTTAAGGTTATAAAACACAGTGAATATAGCGTGGTGGACCAGCTAAACAAAACGAACTCCTATCGAGGATTCACAGCTTTCGTTGCAGCTCAATTCTTAGCCCCACCGTGAAGCTCTCCTGAAAGTGCTCAATCAGGCATATGTTTCACACAATATTGATTTGAATAACTGGGAGCATATTGTGGGCAATATCATGGCACCCAATTACATTACTTTTAATTAGATCCCACTTAGAGCTACGGGCATAGGCTGTTTGAAAGCCCTAAATATGTAGGTTCATAGCAAGAGCCATAAGGAAAGTTCTCATTTCTAATGGATAATGGTTCTTCCGTAGGTTCATAGCAAGAGCCATAAGGAAAGTTCTCATTTCTAATGGTAACTGTAAACAAGGAATACAGAAACGGCCAATCTCTCTTCTCTTTAGAATCAGAAGTAGCTGAACCATCAATGTAATGCCGATAGAACCCCTGCGAAAGCTACCAGTATACATCTCACACATGAGGAGCAGCCATATGATAGTCAGGGCCTTCGATGGAGCAAGGAGAGAGGTGGTGGGTGATATCGAGATCCCATTGAGTTTTGGCCCGTGTACGTTTCATGTGGAATTTCCAGTTATTAGCATTTCGCCGTCATACAGCCCTGTACCAGTACCTAAATTGTCAACAGCAAACGCTATGGTTATCAAGGAAACAATCAAGAAGGGATGGCGCCCTGGCTATGGTCTTGGAAATAACCTTAAGGGGATCAATAAAGCACTGGTTATTCCTGAGCATAAAGAAAGGAAAGGTATGGCGGCGCCGATGGCAGCTGACAGGAAAAGAACAGCAGGTGAGAAGAAGGACAGAAGAATGGCTCGACTCAAAGGACAAGATTGGGATGGAAACAAGCTGGAGCCCTGTATAATACCTTTCGCTTTGGCGGGTACACCCAGTCTGAGATATCAAAGGCGGGAGTGAGTTGAGTGCCAGTTCATTCAGTTTAGGGAGCCATGACAAGGCTTCGTATCTAGCTACCCGAGAGCAAAAGTCAATAAATGATATTCCCTTACACAGTTGTGCGTTAAGCGATTGCCATTCCAGCAGGTCATGGTACATTATAAAGAAAGAAGAGAGAATCCCCTCCCGAAGTTTTCCTTACTTATAGCCTATGGGAGGAAAAAGAAGCTATTCTTGCTAACGTTGAATCCGCTCTTCTTCCTATTGGCGACTCGGAACGAATGCTTGAATGAGTAGAATTTGGGAAGGTAGTTAAGTCATTGATATAGATGAATCGAATCCCCTAGCATTAGACTCGCTAGCCTTCATGGTTAGATGGGTTTGCCCTCTCTTGGACTTGGACCAAAGAAGATGCATCGAATCCACTCCAGTCCGTTTTTGAAAGTAGTGAAATAGAGCTTGACTTTATAAAGCACTATAGAGTGAGATTGATTGACCAATTGATTTTTCCATAAAGAGGGAAACGGAACTTATAGGTAGGGACTTTTAACCGTTGCAACCGATACTGCATACCAATCATACTTAGCTTACTGTAATGGAACTAAGCCGACGTATTCAATCCACAGGACATTGGTGGAGTGTAAGGCTTCCTGCCCAAAGGCACCATGTTACCATATAAGGACGACCAAGACGTAGTACCCTTTCGTTCCTCTCCCGTTGGTATCGTACCTTTACTAGGTTTCGTGTAAGCCCTTCTTTCAGTGCGGATTCACATCCTATTATGATACTAGGCGTACGTACCCCTTCCTGCCTGAATGTAAAGTATGTATGTTGCATACGTACCCCTTCCTGAAAGTCCAGTATGTATGTTCCTCTAGTATCCTATTGTTTGCATATTCCTTATACTAGGGATGTAACTTCCTTTATCAAATCCAAATGAAACATCTGACTCAAAAGTGCCTATTCATGTGCTGCCTACCCGGATTGGCCATACTTGCGGATATTCTCACAAGCCCTTTGAAGCTATTTACACTTCGTGCCCCAGCGGAAAGCATAAGTCACTAAGGAAACAAAAGGGTCCAACCGAGAGCATAAGTCACTAAGGAAACAAAAGGCCGAGAGACTCATTTCAAAAGTGTCTAATCATAAGATAATCCAATCATATAGCACTGGAGCAAAGAAAAGATGTAGAACCCGGTCCAATACAACTATCCCACTAGGGAGATGTTCATAGAGCAAAGGACTTGAGCTCGCTGACGCGCGTTATAAACTCCACTAATAATACCTTGATTATTTAGTTCTTTGTAGCTGCTTAGCTTGTCCGGAATTCCCCTTTTCTTCCGGTATACCGTCTTCTAGTTCTGTGTCCCCTGTACGTTGAAGAGGAAAGTTCCAAAACAAACATATCACGTGGGCGAGCAGATAAACAGTTACCAGAGGCTTAAAGCTATGTCCGCTCTATTCAAGCCAAAGATCGCCATAAGACGATGAAGGGAAACTAACGGAATCATCCTTCCGCGGCATCGGTGGTTACCACTGCACTGAACGGGATGTTTTCTCCTAATCGTTGTATATATATCTAGTAATCACTCATTTATTTGGCAGAAGCTTCGATCTCCATAATGTGGTCACTCCCATGCTCTGGTAAAATGCTTGAACTATAGTTTCTAGGGAAGGAAGATAAAGACAGCGAAACTTCTTATAGGACAGGAGATATAGTGATTTATTCACCACTGTACTTTGAGATACGAGAGTCTTCTTGCCCTAGTCTAGAAGCATCCTTGATTGACGAAAGAGTAACATGAAAATGCCTGTAAACTCTCTGCCTGCAGGAAGTAGGAGATAGGATAAGATAAGTCAAAGAAGATAAGTCAAAGTGAGGATGGTACGTATTTTGCGAAGCTTATGGCTAGTGAAAAGAGAAGAAAGCATAGCATTGAAAGCCTAGTAAGTCCTTCCTTGAAAGGAAGGCAATAAGTCAAATTCATGAACTTAATCGATGGGCCTCGTGGGGCATCACTCTCTCCTTGGATCAATGCCCCCATCAAGCAATCAGTATATGGTCAGCTTTCTTAGCCTTCTAGCATTTACCATTCCATTGACAAGCCTAAGGGGAAGATCGGTACATCGATTCATCGGCCAAAGAAGGGGCCTGCCTCTTGAAGGAAGGAGTCGAGCAAAGGGATACTCTATCTTCAAACTCGCTTTTGAAAGAGCAGAAGCCTTAGTTTAGTATTTAGGATAAGGATGGATATTTGCCTTCTAGCTAAGGTCAAATCAAAGTCTTATCCCTTATTCGATAGCTAGCTCCTGGTTGGTCCTAGCGAACCAGTCACATCATACGCGGAATGAATAAAGAAAAGAAGGCTAAACAAACAAGGACAGTTCCATCCAATTTGGAAAGTCAAGACAGCTTGCTTGCTCAGGTGTTTCTCGCTTTTGACTATTCTCTATGAGGGATTTTCGACTCTACGCGAAAAAGAAAGAATCTACTTGCATCTAAAGTTATTAGGCGGGGACAGGATTCGAACCTATGGCCCTATGTACCCAAAACAGATGCGCTAACCAGACTGCGCAACACCTCCACTATACCAGAGAATCCATTAATTCCGGGCACCTGCAGTAGCAAGCAGCAGGGATGGGAAAGACAAAGAAGCACTATATATGCAGCCTGCCTTCCTATCATCTTCCTTATAGAATGGGCTCGGCTCCTCCTTTGAATTAACGAGATCTATAGTTTTGGATGAATTTGACTTCCCGGATCTAGGTTAAGGGGGTAGGGCCAGTAGGGGAGATTCTAGACACCTTTCCATACTTTGTCTGCTGTATTGGACTTTGGCGGTATTTATCATGCACTTATGGGACCTGAGACTCAAGAATCATCTTTGACATTCTTCGGTTATGAAAGATGGGTATTTGGTTGTTAGGTATAGGTTCTTTTCTTCGAGTATTTAATGCTATGGGGGTGTATATGATACAAGTGTTATAGTATTACCGGGGGGAGATGTAATCCAAATTACTAAAGCTTGTTGAATAGAATTGAGTGCATCTAGCAATAGGTCACTGTAATACGGCTCAAATGCATTTCAACATCAATTACGTGGGCAATATAGGGGAAAGAACAGCTTCCACACCCAGAGCTTTCAACTCTCTCTATGGGTTCGACCCTGCCCACAGAATAACTCAAGATCATAGTGATCAACCTTGTCTAAGAAAGCTAACCTTATGGAGGAGCGAAAAACCAACAATTCCTAATTGGTCAGCTTTCCTAAAAAGAAAGAGTGGATGGATTATTGAACCCGAGATTGAAAATGTGCAGTTATCGGCAGTAAACAATGGCTTCGGCATTTTCCCTTACCTGCAGCATTGATGAGTAGTACCATATATTCTCAATCGTTCTCCTATGCCTGGATGCGCTTCCAAGTTTGCCTTCAAAGAGATCCTTCGTTGTTCGTACTAAAAAGATCTCCTTATTACTCGTTACTACTGTATTAACCGTGTTCTTGTTTCGGCGCTGCTTGTCAGGGCTTGCTTGATTTTGGTAGTCAACTAACAGATAGTGCTTTCACGCCCAGTATAGGGAAATGGATCTTAATGATACAACGTTACGGTCAACAGTTAAAGAGGATAGTGAAGGCCTTGGGAAGACAGAGACAAGAGAACCTACGTTCGAGAATGATACTTTGATCCCAACAGGCGAGCTACTCCAACAAGCAAGGTGCTGAAAGCCTTTGAAAATGGGATCGCTCATACCAAAGGGCTTCCGCCTGGAAGAATGCATTCCCTTATTGCTTGCGCCTAACCGACTTGAACAGTTTGAATTGAAACCTTAGCTTTTCGATTCGTTGAACACCACCCTAATTAGAACTCATCGGAGAAAAAGAAACGGGTCTCTCATTACGGACTAAACGAACCTGCTGATTCAATTAGTCCTATTATTGAACCTGAATTTCCTGGCCCAATCACTACACTGCTGCTTTCACTGGAGAATCTTTCCTTCAAGCATTGAATGGGACCGGGGGTAGCCATCATGAGTTATCCAAAACGTTTCGTGATCACTACTATCAATTCACTGCTGGCATCGGGCAACATCTGAACCTCAATCAGGACTAAGAAAAGAAAGGACCTTAGGATCTAAGAAAGACATTAGGCACAACAGCTCGGATAATGTGATTGGAATTTCCCCAACATCAGATCATAATTCACGATACCTGGAAAGGGCACTCAACTCGCTCTACTCGACCGGTTCATTTGATCACAGCTCCTACCTGACGGCTACCATATGGATTTCCATATTCCATTATAGACGGTATGGAATCCTCGTATTCTCCCATATCGAGCTCATGAATAAGCTATCCCCTTCTTATAGTTTGATAGTTCCGTTCGGGGCGTACCAAACTCATTCTATTGCGGGCTGGCTTGAGCATCTACTTCTTTGTCCGTAATCACTGGCGGTGTATACTTAGAGCAAAAGGAATTCAAGCAAAGTGCACTTTTGGATACCTGTAGAAGTATTTCTCAGTCTATATCTCAGTTCTAAGCCCGTTAAGGAAGTTAGTGCCTTGCCTGTCCGAATGGTAGTGTTGTGAAGGGACCCTCAAACAAGGAAAAGATGCTCGATGATACTTCTTTAGGTTTCCTGGTCATAATCAACTACTATTGGATGATTGGCAGGGCGGACTTCAGTGATTTCATTTCATCCGGCCGAAGAGATGTTTTTGGTCACATTCTGGTAATTCATTTATATGTCTCATGCGGGCTGCCAGCCAAATCAATGTGGAAATGGAATGGTATCTCGGGTGGACAGAAGCCATGTTAGGATGCCTAATAGAAACTCATTTCTCTAGTAGTAGCTATCCTGACTTGAAGAACTTGGTTGTAGCTGCTCAGTATCGATATGTTCAGATCAACCTGGCATTAGGAGCCTATCCAAAACCCATTAAGCCACATCCTCTAGCCAATTCATCACTCTGGAGGAAAGCACTCGCTACCCGTAAAAACTCTGTCACTCTTTAAGAACTGCGACGCTCCTCGCCCACCCGAAGGCATTTCGTAAAGTACTGGTCCGATCAAGGCAAAACCTTCGCTTCGGTCGACTTAGCTTGAGCTCTTCGACATTAGATTTTCGGTGCCATTTCCCGTTGAAGAGATAGTGGTGCTTGGATTAGGGCTTGAACCCGTTCACTTATTCTATGTAAATAGCGTTGAAAGGTAAAAGCCTCTGTTGTACCTTTGTTGTGAAGGAAGGCCGCTTCATAGCTCACTGGTTTGGACCACTCCGAGATACAAAATCTAATGATCGCCCCTACACCAAGTTGAGGATTCCGAGCCTTCGCTCGTCTCTGAGTCGTAAGCCATCTTATTCGCTAATTCTGTCGATTTATTGCCTGGCTCTTTCTTACCCGAGCCGAGCCTAACAACGCCTTAATTTGCGTAGATGAAATAGAATTCGCGTATATAAGAGAAAGTTCACTAGCTTTGAGAATGGACCAGACGGG